GGCCGTGCTCAGCACATCAGCTCTCATATTATCCACGCTGGTTTTCCTGCTATAAAAGTACTATTTTTAGCAGTCGGATGTTTGTGGATGTCACTGCTTGTCCTCACATATTGCCCTTTGTGTGCTGAGCACATGGTTGCAGCGGGTGTATCCAGAACAGAGCAGTTTGGTCACATTAAATGAGACATCAAAGCTAAAGAAATCTTGATGGAATCATTTTGTCAGGATCATTTTTTCCCTGCAGATTGAGGCTGAAGAGGAGAATCCAGCCTGGCTTCTGCTTCACTGAACCTGTTCCACTCCATTTACTCCATCTTGTTGAATTGATGCTGTTCTCACTGATTTACTCAAAGTACAGAATTTGCTCTTTCTCCTGGGCAGGTGACAGAAGGCCACTGGAAGTGGGGGGACATAACGATACAGGTGAACAGCGCCTTCTTCACGGGCATCTACGGGATGTGGAACCTCTACGTGTTTGCCCTCATGTTCCTGTACGCGCCGTCCCACAAGAACTACGGCGAGGACCAGTCCAATGGTGAGTGGCTCTGAGTGACCTAGGGGGGGAAAGAGATAGAAAGTGGGGGATGCCTTCTGCACATTTGTTTTTGGCTCAGCTGCATATTCAGCAGCTTGAAATGTTATGGAAATTATGGTTTGGTTTTCGAGGCAGGCTCGGTTGGACAGGTTTGAGTATGTAGCCAAGGCTGGCACGAACCTTCTAGGTGGTTTTTGTACATTTTAGCATTGCCCAGATGTAACTGCAGCTCAAAGGGAGGGATGAGGAATGGAGAAAATAGAATCCCTGATCTAGTGCATGGCATTCCAGCCCATGGCAGGGGGTTAGAACTGGGTGATATTTTAAGTCCCTTCCAACTCAAACCATTTTGGGATTCTTTGAAGTCTGGGCAAGTGGGGAATGGCAGCACTGTTGGATTCTGTTATCAGTAGTCCTCAGTAGTACAGAAATCATTGTTTGCTGATACAGAATCGTGGAATTGTTTATGTTGGAAAAGACCTTTAAGACCGTCAAGTCCAACCATTCCCCAGCACTGCCAAGGCCACCACTGACCCATGTCCCCAAGTGCCACATCCACACAGCTTTTAAATCCCTCCAGGGATGGGGACTACACCCCTGCCCTGGGCAGGTGTGCCAGGGCTGGACAACCCTATTCGTGAAGAAATTTTTCCAATATCCAATTTAAACCTCTCCTGGCACACCTTGAGGCCATTTCCCCTTGTCCTGTCCCTTGTTCCCTGGGAGCAGAGCCTGACCCCCACCTGGCTCCACCCTCCTGTCAGGGAATTGCAGAGAGTGAGAAGGTTCCCCCTGAGCCTCCTCTCCAGGCTGAGCCACCCCAGCTCTCTCAGCCACTCCTGGTGCTCCAGATTCTTCTCCAGCTCCATTTCCTCCCCTGAACACACTCCAGCTTCTCAATGTCTCTCTTTTCTTTCTATTTAAATAACTGTAAATAAAAGCATTTATAGGATTGTTGCCTGGTCTGTAGCTCAGGCAGCTCCTGAAAGCCTGGAGAGAATAAACCGGATCTTTCACTTTCTAATTGTCCAGTATTTTCCTGTGAGACCCCTTAACAGAACAACTTTGTTTCTCAGGTGACCTGGGGGTGAACAGCGGGGAGGAGCTCCAGCTCACCACCACCATCACCCACGTGGACGGGCCCACGGAGGTTTACAAGCTGGCTCGGAAGGAGGCTCAGGAGTGACACAGAGGTGCCTCAGTGGGGCCCTGGCCTGGGGTGGGAGCAGAGGACACACAAGTCCCTCTGGCAGGAGACCTCTGCGGCCAAATTTGCTCCTCGAGCGCCCCGTCCCTGGTGTGTTCTCAGAGCAGTGACACCGAGCAGAACATTTGTAACTCTTTACTATGGTGTAGTTATTCCTGGGGGGAGGGATGTGTATATTGTGTTCCACTCGGGCACGTAAAACCCTGCTGGAAAGGCATTAGGGTTGCAAAGTCGTGCGTTTGGACGTCGGGACGGGGCAGAGCTGCCGTGGGGCTGGTTTTATTTGGCCGTGTGTGCTGGTGCATAAAAAGGTGCTGCAGGGAGCTCAGCTGGCAGCACATACTCAGTAGTCCAAGTTTTCTCCTGTGTGCAACTTATACAAGGTGCTGGTGGGGAGAGGGACTAAATCCTCGTTGTAAAAACATTTAATTCCACCATTTGTAACTGTATCAACCCAAGTTTGAGTCTTTAGTGCAGCCCTGCAGCCACCCTCTGTCCTTGAATGAAGCACAGCTGGGAGAGGAGTAGGCTGTTATAAGGTTTTTGTAGAAGCAGCAACGTGCATTCTCAGTAGGGTTTACAGCTGTTTGTTGAATACAGGGAATGTCCAACCTTGATGCTGAGCTGAGTTGCAGGAGAACAGAGCACTCCTGACACAGTTTCCAGGGGTGCTGATCCCACAGCCAGCTCCTGGGCTTTTGTAGCTTCCTCCATCTTTCCCTTTTGTTGTGGGGCATCCCTGTGAGCTGGGCAGTCCTGCTCCTCCATGCACTGCTGGGCTGGAGCACACTTGGCAGAGCTGGATTCCTCCAGGGATTATCAGACTTGAAAGAATCAGCTAGCTGGTCACGCACTAATGTGGATCTTCGATATTCGCTTTTCCAGAGCAAACACAGGCACTGAGCTTGCTCAGCCCCACGCTGGGAGGCTGCTGGCACTGCAAGGGAAGTGGGAACTGATCGGGGTGGAGGCTTGAATTGGACTGTGCTGGGACCAGTTAAGAGCAGTGCATGGTGGGGGGGAAGAACTGTGGCCAGAAGGGTCTGTGCTGCTCAGGACACACCTCCCAGGGCCTGGAGCATCCAGAGAGCCTCATGAGCTGGCAATAGTAAATGTAGTAGTAGTAAATAAGCAGTGTTAACTGCTAGTAACATGTAATCCACCCTCCCAGTTTTATCCCTAAAAGATCAGGGTCTGCTGCTGCTGTATGTGGCTGAAGGGTCAGAGATGAGGAAGAGAAGCTCCCAAAGCTGCTGCCAGGCTGTCAGCCCAGGTACCATCATGATTCCCACCCAAAATTTATTCCTATCCGTTTATTAAAGCTCACCACTTGGTAAAAAGAGAGGGTGAATCAAAAGATCATCTTGCATCCTTTAGGTTGCTGGGCACCCCCAGCTGTACCTCTGGTTACAATGTGACACACTGAGCAGACTCCTTTGCCAAAGGGCTGCTTCCTTTGTATTGATTGGAGCTATTACAGGCTTTTCTTAAAAGGAAGTAATTCTGTTTGTTGTGTTCACCCTCTCCGAGATCCCGAGCTCCCCCGGCCCCTGGAGCATCCCAGCAGGGTCACAGCTGAGTAGGTGTTCCTGCTTGGAGTATTTATTCCATTGCAAGGTGAATTAAATCAATGCACATCAACGTAACTCCAGCACGTTCCTGGCTGAGCGCTCGACTTTGCAACTTTAACATCCCTTTTCCCTTGGGTCCTTACGTGATATTTATGTTGTTCCCATAGGTGTGTCCGTGGTTTCTTTTCCAGCTTAGTCTCTAGGATTCTGTTTTGTAAAGGCTCTTCATGAACTGGGACCCACAGCTTTCAAACCAAATTCTGTGTCCAACACTAACAGTTTGTTTACGGGGCGTGTGGACGTGTGTGTGTGCGTGTGTGGGTTTTTTATTTTTTCATCCCTAAGCCCTACTCATACGTCTTGGAAATAGTCCGTGGGTCTTATTAAAATATATCCTTTTTTTGTTTAGGTTGAGTTCAGTTTTTACAGAATGCTTTAAGCAACCTGGAATACCTGTAGTTTTGTTAATTTAAATAAAATATACAATATTGTGGATTTGTTGTTGGCCACGGGAATTTGTTGTTGGAATTTCTCCATAATCTCACCCTGCCCTCTGTCAGTGTGAACCCTTTCCCCCTTCTTGCTCTCTCCAACTCCCTGACAGGAGCAGGGAGCCAGGTGGGTGTCAGGCTCTGCTCCCAGGGAACAAGGGACAGGACAAGAGGAAAAGGCTTCAAGTTGCACCAGGGGAGGTTCAGGTTGGATATTAAGGAAAAATTCTTCAGGTAAGGGTTGTCCAGCCCACAGGCTACCCAGGACAGTGGCTGATTTCCCATCCCTGGAGGGATTTAAAAGCCATGTGGATGTGACACCTGGGGACATGGGTTAGCAGTGGCCTTGGCAGTGCTGAGGAACGATTGGACTCGATGGGCTCAGGGGCCTTTTCCAACCTAAACAATTTCATGATTCTGTGACTTGCGCTTAAGGAGTAGTGGAAAATTTGATGAAAACAGATTAAGTTCAGTATCAAGAGCCTGAAGTCCCCTTGCAGGAAGGGCTGCCCGGATAAATCGGACCTGAGAGGGAATGGGAGCTGAGCTTTAGGCAGAGCCTGTGGCTCTATTCCCTCTGCAGCTCCAGCTACCCTGCACGGTGAGGAACTCGGGCTGCTCCCAGACAGACCGGAGGCAGTGCAGCACTGTGGGACCTAATGAACGGCAACAATGCAAATTAATGAATTCCCAACGACTGTAGAACCACCGCCCCCTCCCACACACTCCTCTCCTGGGTGTCGCTGCCCAGGCGCGTCCTGCCCTGGCAGAGCTCTGCTGCCACCTGCTGCCACCAGAACCTGCTCCCGCTGGACTGAACACAAACCATCGATCCCTCATCTCTAAAATGTGGGAAATTGGCTGATGTGTAGAAGCTCCCATTGCCAGAGAGGTGCTGCTCGGGGTCCGGGAGCTTTGTGTGTCTGTGCTGCTGTGCAGGGACACACTGAGAACTGGGAGGAATGGGAAAAGCCACCTGAGAGTAGCTTTAAAGTCTGGCTGGGGTGGCTGTTGAGCAACCAACATTAGCAAAGGGAAAATGGGTTGTGGAAGACTTTTCTGGGTGAGCTGGGGACCACAGTTTCTGAGGTCAGAAAAGGGTCTTTGGTTGGAACAATTTGTTTTCCTTATTGGATTGTTTTCTGCAGGGCCAGGAACTGAACTCAGTGGTCCTTGTGGGTCTCTTCCAACGCGGGAATTTCCATGATTCTGTGTTTCCTTAGAAATCTGAGACTGGGAGGCACTGGGAGAACTGGGCTTGGACCCCGATGCCCATCCCCCTGAAACGAGGGAGCGTTACAGCCTGAAAATGCTCAGGGAAGGGTGATGTGAGTGAAGGTTCTGTGGCTGTGTCTCACCATGTGCCTGCTGGATGGAGCCAGCCTGTGTGTCCCAGCTTAAAAATAGGAGACAACTTGTGACTGGGTGAGATCCCAGCAGGGATCCGAGATGGTGCCCAGGTCTGATGGTGCTGTTGGCACTGGATGAGGAGAGGGAGGTGCTGGCGTTTCCTTGTTGTCCTCTTCAAAGCTGCTCTCAGCAGCCCGCAGACAATCAGAACATTGTCGGACACTGAAACATGTTCCCTTTCCCACCCCACATTCTGTAGCCCAAGGCTACAGTAGCCCAAGGCTATTTTCTGGATTTTGGTATGATGGAAATAAAGGATTGCTGGGGACAGAAGGGCAGGAGAAGAGCTCCGGTTCCTGTTGTAATGACTCACTCCTGCCCTCAACGATGGCATAGTCAGTGCACTTTTTGGGGGGGTAAAATAAGCACTAAGCAGCGACAGGTTTATTTTTGGAACGTTTTGCTCTGTGGTGGGCACACAGACATGTCACGGGTCTGCTTCCCACTTAGCACCTGACACCGCATTGCACAAGAGCCGGTGGCTCTTGGGAGTTTCTCCCTCTATTATAGGAAATCAATCCAAGCTTCAGGTTTTAGGTGTAGAGGTTTAAATAAAATATGAGCTCTCCTCACGGTTATGATTATTGGCACCTTGTGCCTCTCCATCTCTGAAGTGTAAGTGTGGCAGGGGCAGAGGCTCAGCTGACTCTGGCTGTCCATGCTGGTCCCTCCTCACTGCCATGCCAAGCACTGGGATATCAGAGCCCTGCTCCCCATGGCAGGCTGCAGGTTGGGTGTTTGTTTCTGGCTCAGCTGAACTGATGTGTGGTGGCTCCATGCAACGAATTCCTTGATGAAATGGTTTAAATATTGTCCCATCCTTTAGCTGTTTCATTATTTCACGCCAAGGGAAGTTTATATCCATTATAATAGGTGGAATTTGTGTTTTCTCTGATTTTTCTGTCCTCATTTTGTTGTGCTTAAAGCCCTCCAGAGTTTCCAGAGGAAGGACACTCTTCCAAGTACAGCCCTCATTCATGAGATGGATGTGATGGCTTAGCAATAGCTAAGCCACTCTGGTACATTTCCCAATAAATATTGTACAGGCTGGACTGCACTCCCAAGTCTCGGCATTGCTGGGAAGAAACATCCTGTCCGGTAAGCAATATGCACCGCTGGCATACAGCCTCTGGTTTAATAATAATTTATGTAATTCCAGAGGAAAATCCTTTTTCTGTCTTCACCTGCTGCCTCGTACCTTTCCACAAGAACTCGTGACATTCAAAGCAATATTAAGGAGATGGATGGAATGGCTGTGAAGGTCCAGCTCTATCTCCCACACGGAATAGAAATCCTCCAGAGGAAAAGCAGTGGAAATGGAGCCCAATGAAGACAGAGCAGGATGGGTGCCCATCCCTGAGTCTCCCTGCTGTACCCCTAGTCACTTGGATACCCCCCTGCCGAACCCTGGGAGCCTTTGGGGGCTGTTGGTGCTGTGCTGTGCCTCATTTCCTCAGGGAAATTACACAATCCCTACAAGTCCTACGGGAGTCCTGACAGAACAGAAACAATCCCTGGCAAAGTCCCCACAGAAAAGAGATCTTGTTATTGTCACCCATCCCTCCTGTAGGTCCCCAGTGCTGTCCAGCACCTCACAGCTCTGGGAATTTCCCAGACAATTTTCCAGAGCAGCAGCAGGAGCAGGCCTCAATCCCCGCTCCCTCTGTGCTCTGCTTCCCTGAGGGGCTCTCCCAGACAGCTGATTTCCATTTAACATTTCCTTTTGGAATTTTTCTGGCTGTTGTCAGCTCCATCCCAAGCAAATCCTGACCAACAGTGGGACACTGAGCCAGCATCTCATGGCTGTGTCCCTCCCAAGACAGAGATACTGTATAGGACACGGCTCTCCATCCCTTCTTTAAGGAAGCCAGAGTCATTCTTTTACCTCTGTTGACTCACAGCTTCTTTCCTGCTTTCTGACTGGAGGAGGGTCATGAATCCTTCCCTGAACACAGAAACCTCTTGGCTTCTCATGTCACCTTACTTATGCAACAATTATCTCTTAGAAAGAGATATTATTTAAATACCTCTTAGAGACAAGTATTGGAAATCTTAGAAAATATCTGGAAATAGGTAACTGCCTTTGAGTAAACAGAGAGTGAATTAGCTAGTCATTCCTAGTTAGGATTTCATTGTGGCTAATAAATACTCCATAAACACCAAAAATGATAGTTTATAAATACCTCATAAACACCAGAAAGGATGGTTTGTAAATCAGCTCTGAAAATCCACATTAATTATGGGATTCAGGCAAAGTGAATGACTTGCAGGTTACGAGCCTTGCCACAAACAAGTCATTCTGCCTGGAGAGACAGGAACAGTAAAGGTATGACATAATGATTAGACAAAAAAATCCACAGCAGTATGAAGTAGGTCTAAAGAGACACTTTTTGTTGGTCTAGGATAGGAGGGAAACATTACAAGGCTGATAGAAGTGGATTTAAAAAAGGTGGGAGAACACCACAGAGTCAGTGATGCAGCAAGGACTGGAGAAATTAAGACACGATAACCTGGAAAACCACAAATGGTTTGGGAAGAATGAGCTTGGGAAGGACTGAGAAGTGTTTCCTCCACAAGTGCTTTGACTAGAGACAGAAATTCCTTAATTCAGAGATAGAAACACAAATAGGAATGATAATATCTGCAAAAATTGGTTTTGTTGCCCAGTGTGCAACAAGCCAATAATGAGAGAAGAGACACTGGTGATTTATTTCAGAGTTGAGTGCCCAGTGTAATTTCACAAATCCAGCACCCCAACTATCAAAACTTTTTACTACTTATACATTTTAGGTCAGTGGGTTTCTTGGGTCACTGGTCATGATTTCCCCCTGCCAGAATCACCTTTTACCCCATCAGAGTTGATTTCAGCACAATTGCTGAGTTGGCTTTATTAGTTTCTTCCTTATCTTGGGAGTTCTGCCAAATGTCGCTGTGGCCTGTAAATTCTGCATTCTTTGCATCCGCTATCAGTGGAAATCCTTCTTCCTAAGCTTTGTTAACCTCACCCCAAGGTCTGAAATCACTGGAACATGTGGAGCCCTAAACCTTAACAAAGCAATTCTACCCACAAGTAATTTGTTTTTCTAACACCTGAACATCACTTAGAGCTCGTTAGTTGCTGGTTCATGGATTAAATCTCCCTTCTTGTTGATTAGGCTTGAAAGTATACAAAGATTAAACAACAGAGAACATCAATTCTGAAGAAAATTTTACACATTGCACGTTTTGCAATATGACCAGGCTGTAAGAAAGCCAACCATGAACAATTCATGAAATGCGTTGATTTTTGAGCGCCCTCCACAGGCGCCGGCGGCCATTTTGGGGGGTGAGGGCGGGCGGCACCTGGGCGGGAACGGGCCGTGAGGGAGAGCCGAGCCCATGGCGGGGCCCTGCGGGCAGGAAAGGGTCGTGAGGGAGAGCCGAGCCCATGGCGGGGCCCTGCGGGCAGGAAAGGGTCGTGAGGGAGAGCCGAGCCCATGGCGGCGGCTGTGGCGGAACGGGGCGAAGAGGAGCCGGGGGTGGCTCTCAGCCCACGGCCGCCTTCTCCTGTCAAGCACCGGGCTGTGCGTGCTGCACTCTGCCCGCAGAGAGAGCGTGCGAGAGGCGGCGTTTGAGGAAATTCCTAATAAACCAAGAGACACGCGACTCGTGATTGTGATACACAACGACTCTGTTTTATCCGTTAGTGTGAGGGAGACAAAGTCATGGAATCACAGAGTATTCCGAGTTGGAAGGGACTCACGCGGACATGGAGTGGACCTTGATGGCCATGGCCTCAGGGCTCGGTGATTTCCCCGGGGAGGGCTGAGGAGCCCTGTCAGGGCATCCCTGCCCCGCTTAATGACAGCGGGGGCGGAAAGCAGAGCTGTATTAAGTGTTTTAAAACACAATCAGACTTAAGCCGGGAGATGCTCAGGGTGACTTAAAGCCGGCAGAGCCTGTCAGTGCTTGGGCGTCTGCGGCGAGGGGGGCTGAGGAGATGCGCCTTTGTGCGTGGAGTGAGAGGGATGGAGCAGCAGAACTCGGCTCCAGCGGCTGTAACTCAAGTGGTCGTGCTGGTAATTTATTTATTTTCATGGGGGTTTTGAGGGGAAGGCTGGATATATGGAGGCACGGAGCCTCCCCTCCCTTCCGCGGCGGCGGAGATCCGGGCGGGGGGCGCCGCTTCCCTGAGGTTGGAACACACCTTCCCGGGGCTGGAACACACCTTCCCGGGGCTGGAACACACCTTCCCGGGGCTGGAATACCGCTTTCCCGGGGCTGGCAGGCGATTCCAGTCCCGTTTCGCTGCTCAGTGGAGCTGATGGCTACAGGTGAATACCTTTTCGCTTTCATGCAGTATATGGCTGGGGGAGACGGAGGGATAGTGGCTTATTTCAAGGAAAAAGGATGGGAGGGGAGTGACTTATAATTGCTTATCTCAGTAACGTACCGTAACATTACCGGGATGGTATGAAGGGTTCATTTTTCTTTCTCTCTTCCCCCTTTCCCCCTCCCTCTCCCTCTCCCTTTTCCCCTCCCTCTCCCCCCTTCCCCCCCTCCCTCTCCCTCTCCACAGCCCACCTCTGCGTAGGGCTGTGTAAACTTGGAGGAACTCGGGTATTTTCAGTGCAGACCTTCACTCGCATCGCCGCGCAGCCAAGATGCCCGAGCAGAGCAACGATTACAGGGTGGTGGTGTTCGGAGCAGCCGGGGTTGGCAAAAGCTCCTTGGTCCTGCGTTTTGTAAGGGGGACTTTCCGGGAAACCTATATCCCCACCATCGAGGACACGTACCGGCAGGTGATCAACTGTGACAAGAGCATCTGTACGCTTCAGATCACGGACACCACGGGCAGCCACCAGTTCCCTGCTATGCAGCGCCTCTCTATATCCAAGGGGCATGCCTTCATCTTGGTGTACTCCGTCACCAACAGGCAATCCATGGAAGATCTTCATCCCATCTTCGACCAGATATGTCAGATTAAAGGGGACATCCAAAAAATCCCCATAATGTTGGTGGGGAACAAAAGTGATGACACGCAGAGGGAGCTGGATGCCAGCGAGGGGCAAGCTCTGGCCAGCAAGTGGAAGTGTGCTTTCATGGAGACATCGGCCAAAATGAACTACAACGTGCAGGAGCTGTTCCAGGAGCTCCTGAATCTGGAGCAGAGGAGAACTATCAGTCTCCAGGTGGACGGAAAGAAATCCAAGCAGCAGAAAAAGAAAGATAAACTGCAAGGCAAGTGCTCTGTTATGTGATTGCCTTTGGCTCTACTTGCTGCACAGTGTAGTCAGAGCGTGGATTCCCATGGAAAACACATTTCTGCCGGATGATTTGGAGGAATCCATGCCTTACAGAGCTGTTGCTTTTCTCTAAAACCCCCACTGGATTATTTTACATGTTGGTTTTAAAGAGGATGCCTTCTGCATGTTTATTTTTTTAAACCAATAAATGTTCCATGTTAACAATTATCTCTGACTAGAAGTTTTTAATGCAAGAAGTTTTACAGAGGAGAAAAATGTCTGTCAGAACAAACATCTCTATTCCTGTGAGTACACACCAGTTTTTAAATATCTCCAGCCTCTTAGCTTGAAGGAAATCATCTTTAATGTGTAGACTTCAAAAACTGTTTTCAGTAATCTGTTGACCAGAGAAAATCTCTAGCAAAGTGAGGCATCTGTACTAAAAATGAACATTTATGTGGCTCTGACTGCTTAAATTTTTGACTGACAGACCAAAGCTGCAATTTTTCCGTGGTAGAAATTAGGATTTCCCATGTGCTGTGCAATTCCTGAGACTCCTGCAGTTCTGGGAGTTACAGCTTTACCAGGTTATAATCAGGCTGTTTGCCTTTTTTTCCCACTGTTCACTGAGGCAGGACATTCCACGTGCTCTGGCTCCAAATCCAGGGGTGATTCTTGGTGTCCTTAAGCAAGAGCTGCCTCCCTGATGAAGGTAACTGTGGTTGTAAATACTAAACTGATGGTTGGGCAAGGATAGGGAATTGCCAAGATAACCATCACTTGTTTTCAGTCCGAGGCTCCTTTTCTAGGCTTCCTGGAATTCTTAGATATTTGTTTTCCCCTCTTTATTCCATCCAAGTTACCCGGGTTTAGGTGAGACTTGAGACAAGTCAGTTCGGGTAACACTGCCTGGGGAAGAAACCTGGAAGGTGCGTATTTCAAGGAAACTCCTCTCCGATGGGAGCTTTTACCAGACATTTTCCACATATGAAAGGATTGGAGGCATGGGCTTAGTCCGTCTCTTATCTCACTCCCCCAGTCTGGGTTTTTTGGCTGTTGTTAAAAAGAGCTGAGCTTGATAAGTCTCATCTGCAGTGCATGGTTGAGAGTTCAAGAAAATAAATGCAAGTATTCGCTATCAGGCTCTGCCGTGGATCTTACTCCTTCCTGGAGAGGGCTGTCCATCCTGGGTACAGCTGCCCAGGGCTGGAGTCCCCAGCCCTGGAGGGATTTAAAAGCCACATGGATGTGGCACTTGGAAACAGGGATCAGTGGTGGCCTTGGCAGTGCTGGGGGAAAGCTTGCACTCAGTGGCCTGAGAGGGCTTCTCCAGCCTAAACCATTCCATAATTTTGTCTCCTACTTTGGGTGCATATTAGCCCTACTATGGGTGTGTAGTAGCCTGAGAAGACTGTAAGACCTCAGCGTTGGTCTGTAAATTTCATTTTTACACAGCAAAAAGGGTCTTGATGTGGGAGACTGAGAAGAGAGGAATTGCATCTTTTTATAGCACTTTTCTAGTGAAGTGATTTTATTGTTGAAGATGAACACAGTATGGAACAGAAGGTGCTGAAGAGTGCACCCAGGGGTTTCAGGCCCTTAGTTTGAAAGTCTTCATGTCTAGTATGAGCCAAGGGGAGGCTGCAAGAAAGATGGGGAGAGACTTTTTGCAAGGGCACGGAGTGCCAGGACAAGGGGGAATGACTTCCCACTGCCAGAGGGCAGGGTTAGATGGGATATTGGGAAGAAATTCTTGGCTGTGAGGGTGGTGAGGCCCTGGCACAGATTGCCCAGAGAAGCTGTGGCTGCCCCATCCCTGGAAGTGTCCAAGGCCAGGTTGGACAGGGCTTGAAGCAATCTGGGATAGTGGAAGGTGTCCCTGCCCATGGCAGGGGATGGAACTGGATGGGCTTTAATGTCCCTCCCAACTCAAACCATTCAGGGATTCTGTGATTCTCTTAATCACTGCTGGGTTTCAGTGTAAGGTGATGGAGAAGGGCCTTTTCTCCCAGCTCTCATTTGTTCCTGTTGCAGACTAATGCACAAAGCCATGAAGTTTGTATCCATGTGAGTATCTCACATACTTGAACAACTCTTAAAATTGGTGGTGGTGCCTGGTGCTCTCGTCTCCTGTGTCTGTTCCTGAGCTGCTTTCCCAGTCTCCTCAGGCTGTCTCTACACACACATAGGGTCAGTTGGCTCTGTGTGTGCCCAGGCAGTTTGTCCCAGTCCCAGCTGGAGCCCTCACACCATTTGAGTCAGCAGAAAATCTTATTCATTGTGATTTCAGAAAGCCACGGAAGTTCTGCAGAAGGGTTTGGAGCTGTGGCAGAAGGTTGAAGGTTGTGCTTACTTGCCAACATCGGCACAAAGGCTCTGCTTCTGATTTTCCCTATTGGAAAAGGCACCCCACAAGCTCCCAGTGCAGGACCTGTGGTTCTGGCAAAGTTATGCAAAGCTCCTTGTGAGTCGTTTTGTTATTATTACAAAAACGATTTCAGTTCCATTGCAGCCTTCGAAACCCCTCGAAGACATTTTCTGTCTAAGCCTTTTTAAAATGTCAGGAGACCTAATAATGTCTCTACAACTCCCACTGCCTTCATGGAGATGCCTGTGCTAAGGATCTGCAATTACTCACCGAGCCAGGATGTTCTGGAATGTGTCATTATCGCTGTGGTATTCCCTGTGCGGGGTGTGGAGATCTCCGAGGGCTGGGATCTGTCAGAGCAGAGGGACAACTCATGGGAACAAAATAGGTTCAGTCCCACCTGCACCTGGGAGGAACTCCGAGGGAGCTGGGAGGGCTCAGCCTGGAGAAAAGGAGGCTCAGGGGGGACCTTCTGGCTGTCTGCAACTCCCTGACAGGAGGGTGGAGCCAGGGGTGGTCGGACACTGCTCCCAGGGAACAAGGGACAGGGCGAGAGGAAACAGCCTCAAGTTGTGCTAGGGGAGGTTTAGTTTTTATATTGGGGAAAATTCCTTCATGGAAAGGGTTGTCCAGCCGTGGCACACCTACCCAGGGCAGTGTTGGAGTCCCATCCCTGGGGGGATTTAAAAGCCATGTGGATGTGGCACTTGGGGACATGGGTCAGTGGTGGCCTTGGCAGTGCTGGGGGAACGGTCGGACTTGATGTTGGAGGGCTTTTCTAACCTGAATGATTCCATCGTTCAAAGCTGCCTTTGGTGGCCATGGGAGGAGGTTCCATAGGACATGTGGCCATGGAGAGGCCAGGGTGGAGGTGCTGGGGTGCTCCTGGGAGCATCCCAGTTTAGGAACCTAGACCAGATGGGGAACAAGTAACACCTGCTGTGGCTGCCCTTCATGCTCTATAAATAAACCATGTCTTGGGTGTGCCAGCTCAATTTGATTGTAAATTAAAAGCATGTCAATAAATATGTAATTGTGTTTCGATATAAACTGAACCAATCTGGGGTTGTGTGTGTGTCTGTGTGTGTGTAATCTCTTGTTCTTACAAGAAGGGAAATTTATTTTGTTGGAGTGGATGCTGCTGGGATGCTGGGCTTTGTAGTGTGAGGAGTATATGTTGGAAGGAAATGCTCCCACCTTATTTGAATAATTGCAGTTTAAAAAAGTGAACAGATTTTTGGTTTGTTTTTTTAAGTAGATTTGATGAAAGACATCAACGTGAAATCATCTGTCAGCAGTGAAGAAGCGGTTCTGCTCTCTGATGGAGCTGGTCTGGCCTTGCACTACAGGTGTTGGTCTTACTTACCATTTTCCAGCACTGTGCTTTTCCAGGAGCTGGTGATAACATCTTTTTTATGGAGCTATTTATGCATCCTGTAAACCCTTCAGCTTGCAGACATGCCCTGACACTGCTCGTGCCTGGTGAGCAGGACAGGAACTCACTAATTCTCAAGTTGTTTTTCTCCTTTTTTTCCCCCCTCATTCAATCAAGTTTTGTTCAACCCCAGACCTTGCTGGTTTTCTGAAAGGCTCTTCATGAGGTCAGATGTGGAGAGACAAGGTTATGGAAGATGCTGGCACAACTTGTTGAGTTGCTGTTAATGCCTCCATAACATTTTTTTTGGGATAAACACATTTTGTATGTGTTTATCTACTATCAGCTATTGTATGATCATATGAATATTTAGATTAGAAGTTGTCAAATCAGAAGTATTCTAATGGACAAAAATAATAGCACTGCAGGCCTGATTTTTTCTGAAGGAATAATAACACCTTTAATTTTAAAGCTGTTCCAAGACTTCCTCTCTGCAATCCTGAAGTTCAAATATTTCTCAATTAATACCTATTATTTCCATGCAGCACTTGTTGACTGGCTTGAGGCATCTTCCTTCCCGAGTCCAACCAAGAAAATCAGTGTCAAGAGAAAACACCGGGGAGGAGAATCACAAACAGCTCTTCTTGCAAGAGAAAAATGTGAGCAGTAGCTAGAGTGTCCACCCACACATCTATTTTAAAAACAAGAAGACAGAATATTGCTATATTCCAATTCCTCTTCCCAGAGCAAAGCAGGCACACGATTAATAGAACAAACAGCTCAGAATAATAAGCAATATTGCTTTATATGCAGGGTCCACAGCCTTGAGATGCCCAGCATGCTCTGGAAGAGTAAAAGCTCGTCTTAATCATTGCCTGTCATCCTGTGCAGTGTTCTGTGGCCTAAATTAGGGACATCAAAAGCTTCTAAGAGCTAATGAAAATTCTAAAGAGGCTCAAAGTGAACGGCACGTAGCAGCCTCCTGGTTAATCATGCTGCTCCGTGCCAGGTTAGACCTGCCAGTCCTAATTGTTTCCTTTCTTTCCCCTTTGGGAAAAATGATGAGATGTAGACGAGTGGAGGAAGGAGGGGAAGGCCCCAGTGCCAGCCCTGCCATGGCTCACTTGGTTTTGTTCTGTGTGAGGCCTTTACTAAGGATGATAAAACACTGGCACAGGTTGCCCAGCGAAGCTGTGGCTGTCCCATCCCTGGAAGTGTCCAAGGCCAGGTTGGATGGGGCTTGGAGCAACCTGCGATAGTGGAAGGTGTCCCTGTCCCATAGCAGGAGGTTGGAATGAGATGAACTTTAAGGTCCCTCCCAATCCAAACCATTCCAAGACTATGATTTTATGTCTGTTGGAGCCCAACTCCTATTTGGCTCCAGTGAGAGTTAAGCACTTGGGACCTCCAAGAGCAGCTGCAGGCAGAAGTAGCCTCATTGCTGCTGTGAGTAAATACAGAGAAAAGTGTGTGTGTGTGTGTGTGTGCGTACCAAGTTGGGAAAAGTCTCCTACCAGAAGTTATTGGATCCATTATTAATGACTGAAATTTAAACTGTTTAATGTATTTATTATTATTATATGCTATTATTGCACCCGTGATGAGACCCCTGCATCTCACCAGCTGAGCCTTTGATTTCTCCTCCAGCTCAAGGGACACAATTTTCCTACCCTTGGATAGAGGTGCCCACAGGTACCTCCTGCAGCCCCTTTGGGTGGGAGATGGGGGTAGGACGTGTTCGGGACAAGCAGCGGTGGGACATAGCCCTGGGGCACCATCACATCCTGGACACCACAATGGGGAGAGCTGGGCAGCAGAAATCAAAACCCTCTTCTCCCAGGGGAGAACAGACAAAGTTGGTCTCTGAGCAGGGAGGCCTGTGCTGGGCTGTTCCTCTTCTGACTGGGCTCCCGGAGAATCCCTGCTCCCACCCTGCCATGTCTGAACAGGGTGGGAATCAGTCAGAGCACCACGCTGGAGCCTCTGGTCCAGGGAGCAGCAGGAGCTTTCCTTTTATATCTCAGTGATGCATTTGTGCCTTTCAGACTAAAAATGTCTAAGGATGGAGATACAAAGACTCTTCTCTCCTATGTTATGGTTTTCCTTTATTCCTACATGTCTTCTTCCAAGCCCTGTATCCATTATCTGCCTCAGGCTGCCTGTGGGCGCCCGGCTGGCGAGGGATTAGCAGCTCACACACAGGCAGTGAAAATCCATCCATCACATAAAGTCCCTGGACCAAGACCAAGATCTCATCTGGGGTGAGGGCGTTGAAAAGGTCTCTTCAGCCATGCCGGCTGCCCACATCCTCCTGACTGCTCGGAGCATCCCTGGCAGGGGATGGAGCAGATCCCCATCCCTTCTACTGTCTCCTCCAGGGACAGCAGGTGAGTCACTTCATATCCCTGTGCAGCAGTTCTGCCACAGAAAAACACATCCTAAGAAATTACTTTGTTTTTATTTTGGTCGAGGCCAACCGTCTGATTTGAAATACTAGTCTAGGAGAGATCGTGGATAAAGGCAGCACTGACAGAAGGAAGCACTGAGCTTCAGTAAGGAGAAGCACCAAGCACGTTCAAAAAAAAGTTAGAAATGAAAGAGGGGAAAAAAAATATCAGGACTGTAGTAGTGAGAAGTTACCCAGGCACCTCAAGCACTGGTGGTGGGAGGGCTCTGCAATACACTTACCAAGTTGCTACAAGCACCCCTATTATGGAAGCCCTCCAGCAAATGCCGTGTAATAATTTAATTCATGCTGTAGCACGGAGTGTTTCTGACACTGGTACAATGCCTGAAAATGTGGCTGTTTAAGGCTTTTTCCACCCTGCTGTCACCCAAGACAGGCCCAGCATGAGCCCAACCATAACCTGTAACACGACAGCTCTTGTGGAGACCTTGCCAGGTGTTCGTGCACCTTCAGAGCATAGGCTGCCAGCTGAGGGAGAACACAAAGGCTCCCAGACCCAGACCCTGCTTATGAATGGGTCGACACCCAGGGAGCCACAGAGCTCGGCCTTCCCCCACAGCAACAGGAACCGGACTCAACTGCCAGGCAGTGGAGCTCATGGCCCAAGGTTGGTGGGCCCTGAGGACAGGGAGGGCACACGCCCCGCCCAATGCCTGTGGAAGACCAGGGACCCCACGGGATACCCGCCTGAGTACAGGGGGTCCCTCCAACTTCCCGCCAAGCAGGGAGGACACACAAAGCCCCACGTACGGGGCCGCCCCCCAAGGCCCGGCACTCCCAACAATCGCCTCGCGGCCTAAGGCCGGGGGGACAGGGCCCCAGCCCTGAGGACAGGGGGGCACACGCTGGCACGTCACCAGCAGGACAGGCAGCCCCACAGCACAGGCAAACACTCAGGCCCTGGCTACAGGTGGGTTACAGTGCTCACACCACCACTAAGGGGCTTCGCTCCATCCTCAGGAAGAAGGGGCAAGGCCAGACCCTGTCTCCACCCATGGGTTTAGAGGGCACCCCCATGCTGCTGCACAGAGCCCCTCTCTGTCTCCTGGAAAGTCTAAGCTATATACGAAGATACGAAGATACAAAGGGGGAAAGAACGTCCCAGAAGAGGGAGCAAGCTCTGTGCAGCCAATGTGTGGGGAGCCATCCCTACTGCTGAGCAGGAGAGCAGAGCCTCAGACCCACCCCCGGGCTGCACAGGGGCCAGAGGGGCCTCAACACGCTGAGGGGCTTCGTGGCTGGCCAAAGCACAAAGGCTGTGGCACACCCTGACTGCAGGGGGTCATTCTGGGCAGGAGCCGCCAGCACGCACAAAAGTGCCAAGGGAAAATACCCTACCCTGCTTACAGGGTGGGCTGGGGGTCAGGAGAGCTCCATTTCCCCCCTCAGGTGCAGAAACGGGGGCTCTCACTCTCCTTACAGGGTTGCCCCGCTCTCTGGGCAACCAAAGGAGCACGATGGCTAAAGGCCAACAACAGCACAGCAAAGACCCAGCCCTGCTTACAGGGAGGTCACCCAGCGCAAAGCAAGCCGGGGCAGCCTGAAGGTGCCCACCGGACTCCTGGGGTGGAGAGCAAAAATTGTTCTCTGTCTCCTGGGAACACAGGAAATTTGTAACTCTAAACCTCGTTATGCAGGAAATAACGAGGGTTCCTGGAGACAGGTGGGCAGGAGGACACCCTGGGTACTGCTCTGGGTCCCACTGATGTGGGCTGTTGCCAGTACCTCCCCTTCAGCCAGTGCTCACACGCTGTGCTGTGGGGTAAGGGCAGCAAAATAAATGAATTAATTAATAAAAGTGTTTTTCCAGTTTTATCAGAGAATTCCAGACTGGTTTGGGTTGGAAGGGACCTTAAAGCCCATCCAGTCCCACCCCCTGCCATAGGCAGGGACACCTTCCACTATCCCAGGTTGCTCCAAGCCCTCTCCAATCTGGCACCTCCAGGGATGGGGCAGCCACAGCTTCTCTGGGCAACCTGTGCCAGGGCCTCACCACCCTCACAGGGAAGGATTTCTTTCTAATGTTTAAGAGTGAATGCTCTGATCTAGGCTACTACTACACGCTAATGATAATGTTTAACATTTATATATATGTGTTTGGAGGAGAAAGGAAAACCTGTGGTTGAATCACTGAGATCTGAAGAACTTGGTCCTGCCTTCAGACAAGGGTGAGGCAGCCACTGAGTAAATGCCTGGGACAGAAAAAAAGGAAGGAAAACCAAGGGATCTTGTCATGCTGAGTCTGAGTCCAGGACCTGGTAAAAAGGAAAATAAATGTCTAATAGAGAAAATACAAAGTTCAAACTAGTGTGCCCAGTGGGCCCACCCAGTGTTCCCCATCTATGCTCCAGTGCACACTCCAGTTCACCCAATGTGTCCTCCCAGTGTGTCCAGTGCACACTCTGTGGCAAACTGGCTGGGACGGGAAGGGAGCCCCAACAAACTCTTGGGAATCCCCCAACAAACTCCTGGGAATCCCTCAACAAGCTCCTGGGAATCCTTGACAAGCTCCTGCCTGGGTCAGGGCTGCTCCCCCAGGAGGGCTGCACTGTGAGGCCACAGCTAGTTAATTAACTCAGCTTAATTAAGCTCACGATTAGAAGTGAATGATGGGAAGCTGCTGCTTTAGCCCACGAGAGGGCAATGCTTCCCACCCAGTTGGTGGCCACGCTTGGGAAAAGTGGCTTTCTCTGTTTTTAATTAGGAATTGCAAGAGGAATTCCTTCTCTTTGGACAGTTTTCCTGAAGGTTTGGGTTGGTTGTTTCCTCACTGGGGCGTAATGCCTGACAATGTCCTCCTGTGCATCCCTAAGTTACCGGCTGGAACGCGGGAGATACGCAATAAAGAGGAGACGAACAGGCGGTAATCCCATCTTCTCTCCCGTACAACCTGCCTGCGGAGCCAGGCTGGTGGCCGGGGGGACCTGGCTGTGCCGGGCACAGCAACAACACAGCTGTGGTGATGTTGGACAAAGGATGGCCATGGAAAAAAGTGAGGAAGGGTTTTCCTGGTACTCTCAGAGCTGCTGCAGGACAGGGATGCTCTGTCAGGGCACACTCAGGCTGGAGTTATGGGTACAACAGCTTCCCCAATTCAGTTTATTTAGGAAGGGACCTTAAAGTTCATCCAGTTCCAACCCCTGCCATGGGCAGGGACACCTTCCACTAGACTAGCTGCTCCAAGCCCCGTTCAGCCTGGCCTTGGCCACTTCCAGGGATGGGGCAGCCACAGCTTCTCTGGGCAACCTGTGCCAGTGTTTTTCCACCCTCATTGTCCAACTCTTCTCCCTCCTGCAGCTCCCAGGAACCTGTATTTAAATTTTAATCCACGCCCTCCCCTCCCTCTGGAGACAAATGTATTCCCAAGTGACTCCAGGATCAAAGCCCCACAAGCCGAGGCACGCCAGGCCCGTTTGGGCAGCAGACAAGCCCTTGCAGATGCCAGCCCTGCTCCTACCTCCTAAAATTCTCAGGATAGGGGGAACAGCGATTCTCCAACCACTCCACCACCAGGGATTCTCCACCATCGCTCCAGTCCCTCGCGCACACACTTTCCCTACCTCAACCCCTTCCCAAACACCACTGGCACGCCTGAATCCACCTTGGAACAAGATAAACCGGTTTGGAATTCCGCCTCGATTAGGGATACACGAGGCACGCTCGCCCCCCAGGTGGCCACGCCCACCATTCTGCCGGCCCCGCCCCATTGGGGCGGGCCAAGGCCGGGCCGGAGTGGGCGGGTCCGTGGGTGGGTGTGGGCGGGGCCTCGCCGCGATGGGCGGGGCTTCCGCGCCCGCTGCCGTCGCCCGTGGAGACACCGGGAGCGGCGGTGGGTGAGTACCGGGATACCGGGACAGAGGGGGTTCCCGCCGGGAATACCGAGCTCTGCCGCCGTGGACGGGCTGCGCGGAGCCGGCGGAGCAGTGGGAAGCGGCGGCCCGACCCCTTTTTTGCTGCTGGGCCTGGCGGGGCAGGCTGGGCCCGAGCGGTGCCTGAGTGTGTTTAAGGTTTTTTGTTTGGTTGATTTTTATGTTCCCCCCCCCCCCTTTTCCCTCTGTCCAGAGGGGAATTCCCGGTGGGAGGCAGCGCGCAGTTGTGCTGTAGTTCAACAAGTTGCTTGCGGTTCCGGAATGGGTCGAAATATGCTTAATTATGTAAAAACGAATCTGCTTAATTATGTAAAAATAGTACTAAAATAGGCGTTTTTCTCGAGGACGGCGTCGCACGGCCTTCCTGCCTCCTTCCCGCCTCCTTCCCTCCATCCAGCCCTTCCCCATGGCACTGATGGATACCCAGAGCTGGCAGCTCCAACTATACCAGAGCAGCCACAGCTTTCAGATAAATCCTTTAAAATTTACCAATTTTAGTATTCCCAGCCGTCAGGTGATGAGTTTTCCTTGGAATCACAGAGCCCTGCTTGACGGAGGAAGTTTCCCACCTGTGGGGAGTTGTGGGATGAGTGTGGGAAGAAGGTTAATTAGTGGGAAGCGTCATTAGTCGAGGAGGTTTCGTGTTGATACTGAGATTACACACCCAGTTGCAGTAACAAGTTTACTGAGAATCAGGGAATTGCAGAATCTCCTCAGCTGGAAGGGACCCACACAGATCATTGAGTCCAGCTCCTGGAACTTTAGTAACTTTTAAATTGCAATACTTTGTTCCAAGCTTAAATTCTTTACTTTTGGGGGGGGAGGAAAGGGTTTTTTGAGTGGATATTGTGATTTTAGCCTGGTGCTTTTGGGAAGGCGGAGCCAGCAGGAATGGCTGAAGCTGTGTCAAGGGGGAATATCAGGAAAAGGTTCTTCCCCCACAGGGTGGTCAGGCACTGAACAGGCTCCCCAGGGCAGTGGTCACAGCACCAAGGCTGCCAGAGCTCAAGGAGCATTTGGACAATGCTCTCAGGGAGAGGATGGGATCGTTGGGGTGTCCTGGGCAGGCCAGGGGTCGGACTGGATAGTCCTTGTGGGTCCCTTCCAACTCAATATATTCCATGATTTGATTAGTGTGGCACCTCAAATGGAATTCACAGCGATTTCTAGGGGATTATCTGGTGTTTTTATTAGCTTAGAGATCACAGCATCAGGGACATGTTACTCGTTTGTGTTTATCTGGGCTGTAAATTGGGTTAGAAATACATTTCTGTGAGTAAAGGATGAGTAGTGGACAGTGGGAGGATTTGATGTTTGATGGTACTCCAGTGCCACTAAATGAGATTGAGGGATTAGTATGAAGTTAATGACTTCTCAATCCCGCATTTCATCCCGGCGTGGGATGGACTGCCGGATATCTTTAATCGAGGACTAAAGCAACAATAAACTCCAGAGAGAGCAATGGATGAGGTCTGGTGCTGGGGGTGAGCTTGTTTCCTAATCACTCAGCCAATGGATGATTTTTCCTTTAAAAACAAACCTCTCCTGTCATCCTGGAGGAGTTTCTTGGGCTCCCAGACAGCAGAGCCACTTCCAACATCTCTCATCTCTTGGTGGTGTTAAATCCAAATATTGAGTTGTGCTGTAGGTTTCAGATACTTCTCTTATTTCAAATATAATGTCTTTTTGGCTATATAGTAACTTTTTAAATGAGTACTAAAAGTTCTTGATTTCCTAGGCTCTGTTCCTCAAAAGACTTGGAATATTTGAGCCAGATTCACAAGTTCTCTGTAGCAAGGCCTGGGATGAATTATGGAATCCCAGAATGGTTTGGGTTGGAAGGGACCTTAAAGCTCATCCAGTCCCACCCCCTGCCATGAGCAGGGACACCTTCCACTGAACCAGGTTGCTCTAATCCCTGTCCAACCTGGCCTTGGATACTTCCAGGCATCCACATCCACAGCTTCTCTGGGCAACCTGTGCCAGGGCCTCACCACCCTCCCAGGGAAGGATTTCCTCCCAGTATCCCATCCGACCCTGCCCTCTGGCAGTAGGAAGCCATTCCCACTTATCCTGGCACTATCTGCCCCTTTAAGAAGTCCTTGTCACTCCTTTCTATATGGCTCTGCTTTCCCTGCAAATGTTGCTGGAATGTTGAGTGGAAGATGCTGAACACAACGGCTCTGCATGGTGGGAATGTCCTTCCTCCCCAGACACAGCTTCCCAAATCCCAATTCATAACCCTCTGATAGAATCTGTTGCAAAAGCAAGTCCAAATTGCTCCAGAAATCCATGGTACAGCCCCATAAATCCTCCCCTCAGCCCTTTCCCTTTGTCCCCTTTGCCAGAACAGAGATCACTGCAGGGAACAGAGGGAATACTTCCCAAGGGGTGTATAGTTAGCATGGGAAACACCACCACAGCCCTGGCCGAGGCTTGGAGCGGTATTCCAGGGAGGATTGTGTTGCTGCAACTTCATCTGTGCTTACACAAACCATGGGAGTGGGTGAAGGCTGCAGGTCTCGTGTCCTCGCGCAGAAATACCCTTGTGCAGAGGTAGGAGTTGTAGTGACACTTGCATTAGCTGGGATGAAATGGGAAGCAAGTCCCCCCAGATCCTTAGGGTTGTTGTGGACTCGCCGTTTCTTGGGAAATGGAAGCTGCAGATGTTTGGTGACCCTCGGGATTTGCTCCACATTAATCACTGCTGGAATTGGGCAGCTCTTAGCTGAATTTTGCAATATTACACAACTAGGTCTCGGTTTTCTAAACCTCAGTGTTCATCACATGGTCGGTGCTGGGGGCTCCTCGGGATTGACATCAATTCTTGCTCCCAGGAATAACCTGGGGGGAAACTTGGAAGGGAAGGAGAAGAGAAAATACTGGTGAGAGAAGCAAAAAGTTTTCACTCCGTGTTTTACAGGGGTTGATGAAAAGTAGCAGAAAGAGCAGAGGCAGTGACAGAAGTCCTGTGGTGGCTGGGTTATGGTAGAATTCTCCATGGTGTTTTATGGAGGTAGGTAGAAGCAGGAAGGTGAAGGGAGCAGTCAGGGTACCCAGGGGAGGTGGGGGCGTGGTGAGGGTACATCCATTCCCTGGCACCTGTTGCTTGGAGAAGCTGTGGCTGCCCCATCCCTGGAAGTGTCCAAGCCCAGGTTGGTCAGGGCTTGGAGCAACTTGGGATAGTGGAGATGTCCCTGCCCATGGCATGGGACGGGACTGGATGGGCTTTAAGGTCCCTTCCAACCCAAACCAGTCTGAAATGCTGTGAAAACAGACCTGGGCTGCAGTGTACCCCAAATACAAGCTCCTTGGTTCCTGAGGCCCCAGCCAGCATGGGTGGATCAGAGCTTTAGGATGTTCATGGACACCAGCAGCTGTGTATTTTTAGTTGTGTTCCTTTGAATATTTGGTTAAACAGGCAATGTGTTTATATTCAGCTTCCTGTGTCCGTATCAGTGTCTTGGCATGTGATAGAGTTACAGAGGGAGGAGGGAAAAGGAAAAAAGTGTGTTATGAGGATTATTTGTATTCCAGCCGCTGTCGACGGCAGGATGTGGCTGCTGGGATCATCTTGTTTAAACATTCAGCTCAACTCAAGCAGGAACCAGACTTGCTCCCCCTTTGTTTACAGCATTTTCCCCCCATCCCTTCTCCTGTGTCGTTCCTAACCTTCTGTACAGGGACAGGTCACTTTTTGGTACTGTCTGGTTTGGGACATACACATGATCTGAACCTTTGTCCACTCTAACACATGCCACGAGCTCCGAGCCCTTGCTCACTTTGTGGGTACTGATCCTCCAACACCAGCTCTCCAAAGTGTTTGGAGGTGGAAAAGCCCATCTTTGTTCTGCTGGGAAGGGAACAGCCTGCTTCCCCAGCCTGTTTCCCCAATCCAGGCTGCTCTGGCAGCCCCCAATCCAATCCTGTTGATGCTCTGTGGAATCACCCCTTTGTTATCCATAACCATTCCTTGAGCAGGGGCAGTGGGAGCACATGGGGGAGATTTTGACTGATTTTCCTCTCTAAATGATGGCTTTCCTTGTGCCAAAGCTCCCTCAGAGCACAAAACCAGGAAGTTTTCTGGTGGTTTAAGCTGAGGAGAGCAAAATCCTCCCTCCTAGTTTCCGTCGTTGTGATAAGGGGATGCCCTAGGACCCAGCACTGCCCTCGCTGCCTGAACCAGAGGTGATGTGGGATGTTCTCAGGAGGGACTGGTGGGTGTCGTAGGAAGGGAAAAATATGGGCTGAGAACCAGGAAAAACTGCTGTGCCTACGGAAGCCGCAGGTCTGGCTTGTGGAGCAGGAACTGCCACAGGAAGGATTGGGAAGCTCTGCAAGGAGGACTTGATGGTGACAGGGGGTGGCCCTAAGAGGAGAGGCCTCGTTCAGCAGAAACAGCTGAACATTCTGATTGTTTAGACATTGAAGTTTTAATTTGAAGTTGATTGCAATGTCTCCAGCAGGCCTTTCCTGGGCTGTCAGTCCCTCATTGGATATGTTTAGATGTCTGTCCTCTGTTGTTGTTTGGGCTTCAGTTTGCTCAGTGACTGAGATATTTGATGTATCTGTGAGTATCTTCCCAGTTCATAGATGAAAAAAAGGTTCTTTTCTGTGTCATTAACCGTATTGATGATTAGCCAGAGTATTTCCAGAAGAAGATTTCCTTTCTGTTTGTTAAAATCAAGCAGACACCAAAGGCGTTTGTGCTAATTTTTGTGCTGCCATACTACAGTGAAGTGCAAGAAATTCAGTTCCAGGGCAGGTTTGGATGAGATATCAGGGATGAATTTCTTCCCTGGGGAGGGTAGGGAGGCCCTGGCACAGGTTGCCCAGAGAAGCTGTGGCTACCCTGTCCCTGGAAGTGTCCAAGGCTAGGTTGGACGGGGCTTGGAGCAATGTGGGATAGTGGAAAGTGTCCTTACCCATGGCAGGGGGATTGAATGAGATGAATTTTGAGCTTCCTCCTAATCCAGTCTGGGATTCTGTGGTTGCTGTAAGTTTGAGCAGATCCCAAATTACATCTTCATCTCTGTTTGTAGCTTCAAGTCAGACTTTTTGGTCTAAGCTTGGAGCTGGGATAAGCAGAAAGTGTCACTGATGATTTTGGAAGATGGACCATCTTTTTCCTGCCTGACTGTGGTTTATGTTGCTGTAAACAACATAAGGTTTATGTTGCAGTAAACAACAAGGTATCCGTCCTGCACAGCAGGGATGCTCCAGCTGGAGCTGCCTGCCAGGACCCACGGAGCAGGAGGACTCAGGTTGATGCTGCCAGCCTTGGCTGGAGGGACTGGGAACTGTCCAACCATGGAATTTTCTCATCTCTCTCCCACATGTCCTTCCCTGATTTATTCCTTCCCGAGCGTGGCCTGACCTCTGAATGCAGGATTTTGGAGGGCTGCATTACGCCAGCCTCAAACTATGCCAGCAATGTCGAGTTTGTGGGTTTTTATGGCTAGTTTGATTGGAGCTTTGATTAGGCAGGAATATGGAGTCTCCGGGGCTCTGAGGAGGGAAGTGACCCCGGGAGCCAGAGTTAGTTTTCAGATGTATTTAAAACTGGAGTTGGACTGGATCTCTGAAGGTCTCTCCCAGCCCAAACCATTCCCTGTGATCTGTGATTGTTTTGACTGTGTTTTGATCTCCCTCAGGATGCACAAGTCAGTATTGAATTTTTTCTTATTTTTCCTTAACAATTTTCAGGGTGAGTGAGCAGAATGAGAACTTGCACAGATAAGCAAAGCAGCAGTTTTTCCATTAAACTTTGATTTTATGCAGCAGTCACACGTCTGTGAAGGAGTTTACGTGTGACATTTATTTTTGTTTCCTTGCTGGATGTGAACTGGACAAGCCTGGCACAGGGACAAGGACTGGCTGTGGCAAGACAGTCTCTCTTTTAACACAATTTATTTTCCTCCTCCATACAGTGATTTTAACAGCACCTATTAAAACTGTGATCCTGTTTCCAGCACAGGAAGTGGCATGTGATTATAAAGGGGACACTGTCTGTGCTGCCTGCCACCTCCCTGCCTTGCTAAGGACCATCCCTTGGGAACTTTTGGTGGTTTTTTTTCCTCCTCATTTCCTGGGAATGAGGGAGCTGTGTTGCTGTGGCTTCTCTGAGCCGGTCGTAGCTCGTGGTGTGACTTGGGCAGGTGTGGAGTGGTGCCAGGGCTTGGTGCCAGAGCTCCACCAGTCCTTGGCAACTGATGGTTGCTTTCCCTCCAAAGAGTGTCCGTAGCAATCCTGGATCCTGCCATGCCCTGCTTAATGAGGTATCCATGCCCTGGCTCCTCTGCCAGCTCAGTAAATGCCCGGAGCCTCCAATCCGAGCTCCGCAGTGCAGGGACAGTGGGTGTATCTCCGGGGGCACAGAGGTGTGTGAATGTGCAGTAGGAACTCCAGGAAAGGGGAACAGAGAAATTGCCAGCCCATTTTGGATTATCAGTCACTGGATTTAGAACCTGCTCTGTATACTTGCACACCTGTGTGGGGATTGCAGTGAATGGGCTTCCAGCAGCAGCACAGCCAGGAGAGGATAATAAGGAAAGATAATTTTACTTGTAAATACAGTCCCTGCTCCAGTTCCCACAGAATTCCCATCACCTTATAGTTTTTATCACCTTCACAAGCTGGGAGCTGAGAATGTTCATCTGGAGAAGAGAAGGCTCCAGGGAGAGCTTAGAGCCCCTGCCAGTGCCTAAAGGGGCTCCAAGAGAGCTGGAGAGGGACTTTGGACAAGGGCCTGCAGGGACAGGACAAGGGGGAATGGCTTCCCACTGCCAGAGGTCAAGGTTGGATGGGATATTGGGAAGGAATTGTTGGCTGTGAGGGTGGTGAGGCCCTGGCACAGGTTTCCCAGGGAAGCTGTGGCTGCCCCTGGATCCCTGGAAGTGTCCAAGGCCAGTCTGGATGGGTTTGGAGCAACCTGGTCTAGTGGAAGGTGTCCCTGCCCATGTCAGGGGGTGGAACTGGATGGGCTTTAAAGGCCCCTTCCAACCCAAACCGTTCCATAATTCTCTTTCACCTGTAGCATCAAGGCAGCCAACTTGATCTGTGTTTGTGTTGTAGGTGGATGGTTTAAATAAATAACCCTTTGGATCTCTCAGATCTCTTCAGTTGCTGGTTTCTGTTTTTGGCAATGCCAAGTTGTGCTTGTCAGGTGCCCAATTCCACTGTCATTCATGGCCAACACTCCTAAAAAATTGCTGCCTTCATTGAATTGTCGTTGAATTGTTATAGTTCAAAATTATAATTTTTTACAATAAAAACTTAGGAAGGTTGTTAAATATGGTGTGCTCTGGATTCGCCAGTCTTACAACAGTGAACAGGATCTGGTAGCAGAACTTGTATGTTTATGGACTGTTATAATTCCAGGGTTTTTTCTGGGTGTGTAATGGCCTCTATAGGGAATGTGGACTGTCAGATTTGTTTCTCCAGGGAATTAAGCCCAGCTGCTGGAATATCTCAGTGGAGGTTTACAGGTCAGAGAAGTCTCCAGGGGCAAAGTAATCCTGGAATGGTTTGGGCTGCAGGGGGCCTCAAAACTCATCCTGTTCCACCCCGTGCCGTGGGCCGGGACACTTTGCATTAGACCAGGTTGCTCCAAGCCCCATCCAGCCTGGCCCTGAACTTTTCCAGGGATGGAGGCAGCCACAGGTTCTACATGTTCTCAACACTGGCTACAGTGGTGCTTAACTAAACCTGCTCTGACTTTTACTTTGAGTAGTTAAACTCGTTTTAAAGGCAGTGGCTTTTCCAGTAGCTGCCTCTAGACTCACCTGCCCCAGGTCTGGGTGGGACCTGTCCCTCAGAGCGTGGGCTCCAGCAGGAGCCATGCCGGCAGCACCCAAATCTGTGCAAACTTGTTCCCTTCATTCCCATCTGGGAGGGGGCCAGAGGGAATTGGGCGCCCGTGGCCGTGTCTTTGAGAAGGGAAGTAGGGAAACTGGCAATAAGAAAGGTCTGAGGTAGATTTTACAGCCAGGCCAATCTCAAAATACTGTAGTTTTTGTGACTAGAATTAAACCACAAGTGCCAAATCCCCTTAGCTTTGGCTTTCTTGCACTATGAAGTCCTTATAATTTTTATTTTACTCTGTTTCAGGATCATTACACCGATAAAATCAAAGCAAGCCGGACAGGTAGCAAGTCTGCCTATGTAGGTGAGTTTCCAGTCCACTCTTGTTCCTTCCTTTCATGCAAAATATAAAGCAGCACAACAAGTCCCAGACTCCAGCGATTTAATTTTCTTCTAGAGCAAAACAAATAAAAAATACTTGGCAACTTTGTGGAGGAGAGCTACAAGGGCAACACCAGCTTGGTATTGGCAATACTGGTTGCTCACACTATTCACCTTGGGTTTTTAACTGACTTGAATTTATGGGGTAAAAACACCCGCTTCTCCCATGGAAATTAGGCTTTTTCTTGTTTGTTCCCCAATAAGGAAGGGGCAACATGCAAGTCTTCATCATTTCTGCCTCTGCTGTGTTACATGCATTTTGTTTGACCATATCATCATACAAATTCTTCCTATATTCACCCCATCCTGAAAAATAGGTGCTTTGATAAATTCTTGTAGCCAAGAAGCTGGTGAAATCCTTTGCACCCTTCCAGTTCTCTGAGCTGAGCCCCACAGAGTTCTTCCCAGAGCATCTCCCGCCTGCGTCCTCGGCTTTATCTCTTGCAGACGAAGGAATTTGCTGAAGGTCACAGAACCTGAGGCCAAACTGCATCCCGTGACTTTCAGTCTGGAGCTTTAATCACAGACCAGTCCTGCTTTACATGCTGTAAGAGGAGCTGATTTTGATACAGCTAAAAGTGTCTTTGCAAATGTCTCTTAGTAGTTTGTGTGTCTTTTCTGGTGGGATTTAGCTGGGGAGTGCCCTGTGGGGAAAAACAAGGACCTTTTGTGGATAAACTGCCCTGCGGTTCGTTGTCTTTTCCAATGGCTTCAGGCTGATGTCTTTAAAATAATATTGCTCAGATGTTTTTCAAAGGAACCTTGATCTAGAAGTCACTTTTCATGGCTTTCATGTGTACCAAAGATACAAAAAGTTAAGTCAGAAAAAAATGCAGAGGAAAATAAAAGCAGGTTTTTCCACTACTCATCTCCCAACATGTACATTGGGTTTGACAGAATCACATAATGAAGGCCGACTTTGAAAATCAAACGGAGCTGTAGCCCAGGTTTGATCAGCAGGATGGTACTGCAGTAACTTGTGGGATGGAGGTTATGAAGGAACACAACCTTAATTAAACACCTAGAATACCAAATCCAGTTGATCGTCTTGGGAGTTGTCTGTTTCCTTACATTTCACAGTATTTTATGGTTTTTAATCTGTTTCAAAAGGATTAATTAAGACACTGGCAGCATTGTTTGTAACTGAAAAAAAGATCTCCACTGTAAAATCTCTCAGTATTCCCAAGTGTAAATTCTCTGAAAAAGGAAACATCAGAAGGGGGTGTTCTAAGGGGCTTTTATTCTCCATTTGCACTGATGGGCTGCTAACCTCTGTGTAAACCAGGTGTATCTGTGTCCAGACTTCCCATTGCTAACCCAGCCCTGACTCCTGCACCTCTTCTGAGAGGAGCATGGAAGCAGAGTTTGTCCTTGCTGTAGCTTTTCTGCTGTAAAAATGGGTTCGAAATCTGGGGCCCCTGATCCCTTTGGCTGTGGTGCTGTGCACGGTGTGCATCTTTCCCCAAGTCCTGCAGCTGCCACATGTTTTAGGTTCCCTGTGTCACAGTGTGGACTTTCCAGTAGGTGAAGGAGTTAGTTTTGTCTGGGGAGGATCGTGTTTTCTTTTACCTAACCCATACTCTTTCTACTGTGTATAAAATATTTGTGCTGTGATTTTAACTCTTGCTTGATACCTATTTAAAAATCCAGTCCCCCTCACCTGCCAGGAACCAGGGAGCTACTCCTCACAGTTTGGTTTGTGGTAGGTGTGGAGTAGGAGCAGAAAGCTTCTCCTAGCCACAGATGATCCATCCCTGTGATGGGAGCAGCTCCTGCAGGCACCAGAGCCACGGCCTTGGCTGAGGCTGTGCTGAGGGAGGACAAGGGAGCAGGGGACTGCTACCCCTGGAGCCAGTGGGGAAGTTATGGGTGATCCGTGCTGCTACTTTTCCTGGGAGGTTTGCACTGTGGCTGCTGTGTTCAGTCTGCAAAGTGCTCAAGTGGCTCCAGGTCCTCCTGGGAAACTCTGGTGTATCCCACCACCTTGTCCATCCATCATGTGGGGTATAAGGATCATGGAATCACAGAATGGTTTGGGTTGGGAGGGACCTTAAAGCCCATCTGATTCCACCCTCTGCCATGGGCAGGGACACCTGCCGCTATCCCAGCTTGCTCCAAGCCCCATCCAACCTGGCCTTGGACACTTCCAGGCATGGAGTATCCTAAAAAGAGAAATGACCCAAAAGCATCTCTAATTCCTCTTTCATTTTACCACTCAGTTCTATTTTCCTGCAGAGGGCAGGATTCTGGTGTTTTCCAGCTGCCCAGGTTTATTTTCCATTCTCCTTGGTAGTGCGGCAAATGATTCCAGCACCGGTGTTTCCACTGGGTGTCAGCACGGCCCCATGCAGGGATTGGGCCAGCAGAGCCCTGCCAGCCCTGGGCTTTCCCTTTGGCTGCACCCACCACTGGAAAAACGAGGTTGGCTGCATTTCCAGAGCAGGGTTTTCGAGGATGGGCTCACCCTGCGCAGGCGCCGAGGCTGAGTGAGCCGGGAAGGGGCTGTTTTGCTGGAAGTGCTCTTTCCTTCTCGGAGCAGAGCAACCGGTTGGAGCAGGAGGAGTGTGGAACGTGCCTGGCTCGTTCCTGTGCTCTCTAATTAGGGTTACAGCTGGGACAGTGGGTCCCTGGTTCTGGCAGAGCAGCGTGAAGAGCTTTTGTAGTATTTATGGTGTTTACATGGAAGGTGTGGGTGTGATAAGGAGCGTTCTCAGAGAGTGGCTGGGGGGACACGTGTGCAGGGTCGGTGGGTGACAGGTCAGGGCTGCTCACCCTGCTCCCTCCATGCCAACCCTTCCACTTCTTTTCCACACTTAGTGCACATCTGGACTTCCCAAGTCCTTTGCAAAACCCTTGGGCCTGCTGCCTGTCCTGCCAGGCTGAGGTACCTCCTTCAGCTCCTGACTCTGTCCATGTTGGGTGGGAAGCAGCACCCCCTGAGGGTTTGGGTTTCAGGTGGGTAGAGGCATCCCTAGATACTTCTCCCTCTCACCTACTGCTACCATCAGGGACCCTGTGCCTCTCCCACCCTCCCTGTGGGTCACCTCGTGCCAGGTGCCACTGCATCTGGGGTGTGCAGGATCTGGGAGGGGACATGTCAGCACTTGCTGGGATGTCAAATGCTCTGTGGCACATGTTGGCAGAAGGCAGTACCAGGCACACTGAGATTCCTCTGACACATTCTTCCATTGGGGACCTAAATATTTAAAAATCAAGGCCAGAAAGTATCACAAATACAGATTATTTTGATGCTTGTGTGCAGCTCTTTCATCCGTTGCTGTACCTGGTCGTGCTCTGATGTGCCCTCAGAATGGATTGGTTTATTTCTGCACCTGCCTTTAATGTCAGCATTGGCCTCTTGGCTTGGACTGGGAGAGTTTTTGGGTTCTGCAAGTTGTAACAAACCTGCTCCTGAGCACCCTGCAGTAAAACCAACCTCCACCATTCAAGTCCCAACCGGCCTCCAGCCCTCCTGCTCCCACACAAGCTCCTGGGAAAGTGGCACGTGCAGGAACCCACTAAAACCTTACCTCACGTCCTGCCCCTGCACATGGGAGAGGTGCTGGAGAGGGGCTCTGGCGTCAGCCCCTCCTTATGGCACCCTTCTAGGGGCCATCGTGGCTCTTCTTCCCAGCTCTCCATGAGGACTGGCCTTGTCTGGTACTTCTTCATGCTGTTTGCAGCCCCTCTTCCTCCTTCCAACCACCTTCCTGCCCAACAAATCTCTGCATTTTCAGAAGCAAAATTGACTTCAAAGCTTCTGGCTTTTTATTCCTGAGAGCTCTGGGGAGTGTGAGCCAATAAGAAGAGGCAGCTGGACTTGGGGTTCCATGGTGTTTTATTCCCAGATTGTTTGCAGGGTCCCAGCTGAAGGCAGAGTGGGGAAGGGATGCGAGGGAGGATGGTGTGGGGAGTAAAATGGTTTTCAGGCAGGGCTGTGAGGCATCAAGCAGAGCCTGTACTAGTGGTGGTGATACACAAATCAGATATAGCTTAAAATCCTTCCAGCAAAGACCAGGGAGGTTGCAGGACTGGGAACAGTTTCACTTGTAAGCCAGCAGAGTTCTTTGTGGAATCGCTGAAACCCTAAACACAATGTCCTGAGATACCATGTGATGGTGGGTTTGCAGCAGAAATGCCAACTAGCACCTCTGAGCAGCTCCTTAGGAAGTGTTTGCTTCCCTGTGTTGGGAATAGAGCAGCAGCCATGCCTGGCATGAGCTTCCCCCCCAGCTCAGGGCAGGGAATGAGCTGGAGCAGCAGTTCTGGACTTGTCCGACTGCTTTTTTCCTTCTTTTTTTCCCCTGTTCCTGTGTTTTTAGGAAAAGCAGAACAATTTCCATGGTGGTACTTGCTTCTGGTTTATCCAACAGGCTCAAGTGGGCAGCATCATCCAAACATTCCATGTGGAAGCAGCAGCAGTGGTGACTCCCTGGGGTGCTCCCTCCCTGTCCCATGGGCAAGGCACCCGAACCAAGGGTGAGGAGGGATCACAGTGGGGTCAGGGGGTCATCCTGAAGGCTCATGTCCTTCCAAACGAGGATTTGGAACACCTCGTGTCCTTCTTTTCCTGCTGTTTCCTTGCTGAATTTGGAGCCTGCCCAGCCCAGAGGCATTTCCACCTCACTGCCCTATGTCCTCCACAAGTGAGACTGGCTCTGAAAATGGAGAGGCCTTTGAAATCTGCATTTACAGATTAGCTGTAACTTTAGATCCGTGCTACCCCCAGCTGTGGGCTGACACTTTGGAAAACCAGAGACTGGAAAACCAGCAGCTGATGGAGTACCTTGTACGTGCTGTAGTTGTCAGTTTATGTTTTGTCCAATCCACTCTATGGGTTTACAGTTTCACCTTAAAAGCTGTTTTATTTCAAGAGAAACAGTAACAAGACACCTTTTCACCCTTTTGAGCCTTCAGCGCTCCAGTATGGGCTGGCTTTACATAACTGGAGCAAACTGGGAGCTGTTTGCCAGGCAGAGCTGCTGGGAGATTCTTGGCCATGCTTTATCAGTGGTGATTTAATTACCTGTCACTCTGCAGGGGCTGTGTAAGTCCTGGATCTAAAAGAGTTAAAAAGATAGATTGAGGTTTAATAATCCCATTGGAGCTAAAGTTCAAAGCCCAGACGAGGTGGATTTGGGGACCTGCTGCATGGTCATCTCATTACCTAAAGGCTGTGGAAAGAAACAGGACAAGGCCTGGAAAAACAGGGGTTTTCTAGGGAAGAGGGGCAGCTCCACCCGTTTGCAGGTATTTCAAGGAAGGAAAAAGTGCGGGTGTGTGGCCTGCAGGAATTACACTGGAGGATTCATGTGTTTTTCCCTTTCACTGGCAAAGTGCAGTTGGTGAGCATCCACCTCATCTCAACAAACACTGGTCTCAGTTTTCCATGGATAAATTAGGAAGGAATTCTTCCCTGTGGGACTGGTGAGTCCCTGGCACAGGTTGCCCAGAGAAGCTGTGGCTGCCCCATCCCTGGAGGTGTCCAAGGCTGGGTTGGGCGGGGCTTGGAGCAACCTGGTCTAGTAGAAGGTATCCCTGCCCATGGCAGGGGGTGATGGCCAGAGAAGCTGTTGGGTGGACTGATTCTTTTGTCTCATTTTAGTTTGTGAGTCAGAGACAAGTGAGAATTGCAGCCATGCCCACAGCTGCTCTGGGGTTTAGGAATCTCTGTCACCACCAACCTTGGATCCAGCAAACCTTCGTTCAGCTTTGTCACCATAAAATCATGGAATGGTTTGGATTGGAAGGGACCTTAAAGCCCATCCAGTTTCACCTCTGCCATGGGCAGGGACACCTTCCACTATCCCAGGTTGCTCCAAGCCCTGTCCAACCTGGCCTTGAGCACCAGCTGTGTTTTGTCTTAGGTGGTGAGTGGAAAAACTTGTTGGAAATTTATTTTGGTCCATTTAGCACAGAATGAATAGTCATGACTGTGAGTGCTGGAACAGGAGAAATCCTGATGGGAAAGTGTTGGAATGAGTCAGGCTCTTGGGATATCTTTGCTTTTGGCTCAGCCTGCTGAGCATGAGGATTCGCTTCCTAGAAATCGGAGCGGTGCCCTCTCCGACCGCACGGTCATTTCTTTAGAGAGTGACTTCATTCTCTTGGGAGACTTCCCTACCTCAGAAAACCTTGCCCACGGCTCCAAGGGCACAAACACCCAAGTTCTGCAGAGCTGTGGACACCACCAATTTAAATCTGAGGAGTTTTCTGAAGTCCAGTGCATCCTGGGAGAAATCCGGTGGCTCCAGGAGGCCACAGCAGCTCGGATCAGTTGCCAGGAACTCAGAGGGAAAACAGTATTATTGGGTGCTGACCTAGTTGTTTGTAAATCTCTCTGTAGAAGAGATTTAGTGATCTTAGGAGGAGTATTAAGGCTTGTGTTTGTTTGAAGATGGGGAAATGCAGCAATTTAATTTTCAAATGTTATGGTTTGGGTTGCGTTTTCTCTTTTTTTTAAAAACATTTAATTTATTAACAAAGCTAACCAGCTGGGAAAATAAGCACTGGAACTTTCCTAAGGAGGTCATCCATGGAGATTGGAAAGGGATCCAGAGATTCAAACCTCTCCAGTTGAAAAAAGGGGGTTGGGGCTGGGGAAGGGAACACTGGTCTTGCTCCAGTAAAACAAGAGAACAGTGGTTTATCTTTTAATTTTGCAATATTTTTTTTAAACCCTATGTCTATTTTTTTTATAAAAGTACTAAAATTACAGGAATTAGAAAATCCTGAGCTATCTCCTCAGAGATGCATGCATTACTTGATAAAAATTAATTGCTTTGGGTTGGGTTTTTCACACCACAGTTTTTCAATATAGTAAGTGAAAACTGCAGGGACTAAATTAGCCCAGTGCTAAATGTCCAAGGCCAAGCTGGACAGGGCTTGGAGCAACCTGGTCTAGTGGAAGGTGTCCCTGCCCATGGCAGGGGGTGGAACTGGATGAGCTTTAAGGTCCCTCCCAACCCAAAGTAGTTGGGATCCTGTGATTGCATGAGTGCTGTGTCCTGGGCTAAGCCCGTGCCGTAGCGGGAACACTCCAGAGGAAAAATTCTGTTGGCTTTTTGAATTTTGCATGAATTCCCTCCCACGGGTGGTGAGCAGTGAATCCTGTGTGACTCACTCCATAGGTGACCTCTCTGGAGCACAACCTGAGGGATATTTTTGGGCTGTGAGGTGTTTGTGGGGAGCTGGGGCAGCACAGGACTGACACAGACCAGGGGTCAGGTTGTTACAGAGGCAGAACATCCATGGATCCACATGGATCTGCAGGAGCATGTTCTTAATATTTGCTTTAGGAAATAAGTTTTTATTGATACCAAATGTAAGGTATGTCCCTCCTACCGGAGCCTGAGCAGGTGGTGTTACCTGTCACTTAGCAATTCCTCTGCCCAAAGCTTTTCTAAGAATTTTTCCCCCAAAATGGGGACTCAGAGCAGGATAATGCTGTTCCCAGCTAGCTGGGCAGGCATGGGCACTGCCTGGAAAACACCCCTGCTCCCCAGGCTGAGGTGAGAGAAACCTGAATCCTGCAGGAACCGCTGTGGGCAGCGCTTGGAAAGGTCACACAAAGTCATGTTGGACTCAGGTCACTGTATTGCCATAAATGATTCAAGCACAGCCCCATGGAGCCAATTTTCCTTGTGGACCTGTGGAAGACAAGCGGCAGGGTTTGTGCAGAGTCCTCTAGAGACTGTGACACAGGACAGTGACACGGGCAGGGCTGGTCCAAACAGGCTCTTTGGGTACCTGGAGACCTGAATAACTTGGAATCACAGGCTAGTTTGGGTTGGGAGGGACCTTAAAGCTCCTCTTGTTTCACCCCCTGCTGTGGGCAGGGACACCTTCCACTAGACCAGGTTGCTCCAAGCCCTGTCCAACCTGGCCTTGGACATTTAGCACTGGGCTAATTTAGCACTAAGCTCTTGGCTGCTGCGATGCCTGTAGGGATATCCTTGGGAATGCAGTGCTGCACAGTCCTCAGTCCCTCCATGGGCTGCAGGTGGGTGTCTGCTCCACCATGAGCCTCTATGAAACAGTCAGGGATGCTGAGATCAGCCTGTGCCATGGATATTATTTCTTCACAGAAATGACTGTCCGGCCCTGGCACAGCTGCCCAGGGCAGTGGTGGTGTCCCCATCCCTGGAGGGATTTAAAAGCTGTATGGATGTGACACATGGGGACATGGGTCAGTGGTGGCCTTGGCAGTGCTGGAGGACAATTGAACTCGATGATCTGAGAGGGCTTTTCTAACCTAAATGATTCCATGGTTCTATCCTGGCTCGCTCCTTGCTCTTTGGTGGGCTCAGGAGCAAGTCTCCTTCCATGTGCTCAGGGAAGCACATGGATCCTGGTACACACTGGGCTCTCCTGGAAGCCCATGGGGAGCTGCAAATGGGAATCAAGCTGCCAAAGCTGTGCTGGAATTTTTGCCAGACCAGCCATGGCTCTGCCCATCCTCCTCACTGCCACTGGCTCAGCCAAGGGGCAGAAACCTGCACAGAAGCTCCATGCTTTTTTTTGGAGGATGTTTTACTTCCAGAGCTGTTTCGCAACTGCCTGTTCCTGTTGGGTGTCTTAATAACAAAAAAAAAAAAAAAAATGCCCTTTTTGCAGTGTGTCGTGGATGCCTCTGTGTAAAAGCTGTTTAAGGTGCTGTGCCACCTTCTGGAAAAATAACCCACTATCTTTTCAAACAGAACTTCCCTGCTCCACTGAAAATGTCTGGCAAAACAGCCACCACGACCAACAACATTGCTCAGGCCCGAAGGACTGTGCAGCAGCTCAGGATAGAAGCCTCAATAGAGAGGATAAAGGTGACAGCACATCCTTCCTCACCCCTCCTTTCTTTCCTTGTTTTTTTCCCCTTCCAGCTGTAGGACAACATAACAGAGTGTGTGTGTGTCTGTGCACCCACAGCTCAGTGATTTTTTCCCATCTCAAAATGTGACATCAACATTTCAGCTCAGCAAATGTAAATAAATCCAGTTCTTGTGGCCCAATATCCCATCTAACCCTGCCCTCTGGCAGCAGGAACCTTCTCCCCCGTTTTCTTCCTTGTCACTGCAGGATAGATGAGAAATTCCTCATTACAACCCACTGTATCATTTTGAACCCCCTTCTGTTTATTCCCAGTTTTCTGTGTAGAAGCCAGGTGGAACCTTTACCTGGTGTCACAAATGAATCCCAAAGAGCAGCAGGGTCCATCCTTTCCTCCTCCCTGAGGATGAAGCAAGGAGACAGAATGTGTCTATCTCCAAGTACCTCTCCCATCCCTGATAGGGACTCTGTACCCATCACAGCTCTCAGCACCTTTGATCCTGTTCCCATGGGAAACCCCGTTCTCTGTTTATTTTTCCCTGTCTCCTGCAGGTGTCCAAAGCCTCGGCAGACCTGATGCTGTACTGTGAGGAACACGCCAAGAAGGACCCGTTGCTCATGGGCATTCCTGCTTCTGAGAACCCTTTCAAGGACAAGAAAACCTGCATTTTGTTATAGGAGAGGGGCAGCTCCTCCCCAGCCCACCTAGGCAAGGCCAAGCACCAAGCACTCTGTAAGGTCCCAGCCGTTCCCTGGCTCGGAGCGGCTGCTCTTTTACCATGTGTCTAAGTCCTTAAGCTTTCCAAAGCATTCCTTCTGATCCTTATCTTTATTAGGAAGCTGAATTCATGTCTTTCCTGGACAAGGGAATGGGAGCAGCACTGGGGTCTCTGCACAGGGGGGTCCTGGTTGCATTTGCCAAGTCAAACAAGACCAAAGTTGCCTGAGCTTTGCTGATAAAGCAGAGGCCAAGTCGTAGAGACCTGATGAAACATCACTGGGTTTACATTTTTTTAAATGATTAATTTTTTTGGGGGGGGGGCGGTTGTGCCTGTGCTGGCAGCACCAGTTCGTGCACAGGTACGCTTAAAGTGCATTTTCTAGCAAAAAAACTACCTTGCAAAATGACTGTAGCAGCTGCTGAGGAGCTCCAGGGAGCTGTGCCACAACCTTCCTCCTGCTGGCCTCTCTTCCCAGTGGAGAGTTGAGAATCAGAGACCTGCAGATTGCTTTTTCTGCTTTTTAAGAGTTGAAAAAGCAGAATTTTCAGCTTGGATTCTGCTGCTCTGCATTTTCCTCTCTAATTTAAAATCCCTGTTAGTATAAAAACCATCCTGTCAAAAGAATGGAAGTCTGGAACTGCCCTGGCAGGAAAGAACGCTGCCCTCACTCGCAATCCCTGTCACATTCTGTGCAGGGAGTCAGAATTTGACTCTTTTTTAAAAAAAAATTCATTTTTAAAGGGGAAAAATGCCAAATTATATTCAGCTTGTGGTTCTGCATTTATAAATGGAGGGCCTTTTCATCAAGTATATATTTTATATATACACATAATAAAAAAGTCTTTCTTCGTGTACCTGTGTATATATATATACATAAACTTTGTACTTATGCAAATATTGCATATTAACAGCAAATTTGGAAGGGTTTGAAAATAATACTGACTTCAGTTGGCTGCAAATGTTCTTTTCTGCATCCTGCTGAAGTTGTGGTCTGCCATAACTGTGCATTTCTGTGAGGATATTTACAGACTTTATTAACTACTTGTCATTTATGTTGCATATTTGTCATTTCTATATGAAATTATAGACTCACTATTGATATATATCAAGAACCTATATCTTTGTTTAACAAGCCTCTTTGACAAAGAGCTCCAAAATCAGCCTGACAGAGAATTGTGCTGCTTATCCTGTGCTTACGTGCAGATTATTTTTATAGAGTATTTTTCTAGAGGCAATTGAAGAAAACAATAATGTAGCTCCACACTGATTCTTTTTTATTGTGTTTGTGTCTATCATTTTATCACACACATAGGTAGAATTAATGAGCTCAGTTAATTACTCAGTTTGGGGCTGCAAGGCTGTAGCTGTTGAGAATTCCAGCTGTGCCCAGAGGTAGCCAGGCAGGTACATGGGGTGCAGGGAGGGAAAGAACCTCATACTGTTGCCTGATTATTGTCTTCCCAGCAATCTGGTGTTCCCACAGGAATCTGCAGGTTTATTTGGTTAGAGAGCCCTGCTCCCAACCCAAAACCAGCTCCCCGTTGTGGCTGCAGGGGGGCTCTTTGTTCTGCCTTCTTTGTGTTTGCCCTTGAATAAAGCTCACCATGAGGGCTGGGTGGTGATCCAGCTCTGGGACCCTGGATTGTGATCCAGATGTGGGGCCCTGGTGGGTGATCCAGCCGTGAGGCTCTGGATGGTGATCCAGCTGTGTGATCCAGCCAGAAATCCAGCTGTGAGACTCTGGTGATCCAGCACATCAGCTTGCATCTGACAGCATTTAATCTATAGATATTCGGTAAACTCACTATTTTTTATATATAATATACAGGGACACGTGAAATCTGGAGCTGTTACGTTTGCGTTTCGCTTTTTGCTGTAAGTATTCCCAGGACAAAACCCAGGAATTGTAAAATTTAGGGGAAATACAGCCTCTGTTCTTGTAGAATTTTCTAAAAAAGGAGAAATGAGGCTATCCACAGGTGCTGAGAGAAACCTGTGGGGTGCCATGGGGATGCCCCACCGTGCCGCATTGCCGTGCCACCCCACCATGGTGCATCGTCATGCTGCCCCTCTCTCCCCTTGGCTAAGCTGGCTGATTTTGGGGAAAAAAACCAAGCATTTGGGTGCATGGCTGTGTGCTGGGCCATGTTCCCCCAGGTCCACCAAGAGGTCTTGGCCAGTTTGTAGTCTGGGGACAGGGGCTGGAGGGGTGACTGAGAGAAATCAGGGGTTCAGGGGGGGTTGGATTGAGTTTGAGCTTGGAGAAACAGCAAATATGGTGATGCTGCTCCTGCAGCGTCCCAGGGCACAGGATGGCACCTGCCTGGTCCTGAGCTACGTGCCGGACATGGATAGGGATGGGTGGCCTTGGGCCAGAGTGTCCAGGAGTGGGAGAACTGGTCCAGCCTCACCACCTGGCTAGGCTGGCACCGATCCTGCTGGGGCTGGGGACACTGACCCCCCGGTGCCACTGCTGTGGGGCCACACACGTGCCGCTAGGGATGTCCAATGTGGGTCAGTGGTGTCCCCGTGGCCTGCCCTCCGGGCACTGCTGGCAGCGCGGGCAGGAGAGGCTGTTCTCCTGCCACATGGAGAAATCCCTGCTGTGTGCCAGCCTGGAGTTGTAATTACAGAGAAGCGGGGCACAGAGACCTCCCAACCCTGGTGGGCACGGGCTGTGCTGAGGGTGCATAGGGAAAAAATCCAGGAGCATTTGCAGAGTCTGTGGTGCAAGGAAACATCAGGTCAAGTTTTCCTCCACCAAGGAATCAGGTTTCCCCCCCCCTTCCAAGAAGACTCAGGTGCTGCAGGAGGGTTGGAGTCTCTGCAATAAAGCTGCCTCTCTTTTCTTAGCTCCTGTTGTTGCAGCATTCAAGCAAAATAAATAAATAACATTCCCAACATTTCCTGCAGCACATCGGCTGCTTTGGCATTTAATGGCTTGGGAGGAGCTGGGAATAAACCCACACGGAGCAGCACAACAGGACCTTGCCCACTGCCAGGACAAGGAAGCAGCTGCTGCTGAGCCCTTTTGCCTGTGCACTAATGGAGCAAGGAAATAAAACCCTGGGCCAAAGGTTTGATTGGAAACTTTATTTCAAAAAAAAGAAAACACAAAACAGAAACACCAAACCCCCCCAAAGAACACTCAAATTTCAAACAATTATATTAATGTTGCTGCTTTTGCAGCCAACTGGTAAGAGATTTGTGGTTGCAGACCAACGGCTTAAGGGCATTTCGGTTCTCAAACCTCCAAGTATAAATAATTTTCCCATCGATATCAGAAAATAACTTATTATAATTATTATATATCTTAGCATAAAAACATGAGAATTAACATCCCAAAAATACAATAACATTGTTGGCAAAATGCCTCGATTTTTGCTCTTTAAGGTGTTTAAAACAGGAATTTTAAGTTGCACTTAAGGATAGAAAGTGAAGGGTATTTTCGGCGAGGGACATGAGCACCCCTGGCATGTCAGGCTGGGCTCATCCTGCCACTTTTCCTTCACTTCCTCACTCATTCCCACCGCTCCGGCATCGCTCTGCTCCAGCCCCACACAACATGTCGCTCCACTGCAGCCAAACCCCCCCCGACGTCAGTTTTAGCTTTTATTTTTTTTGTTGGGTTTTATTTTTCCTCCCCCGGAATCCCAGTGCCAGGGCAGGGAGTTACTTCCTGAGCAACTGCGAAAGTCTTGCAACACTCCAGTGCAATCGGGATCGGGATGGGCTCCAGCGGTCACCGCTCCGGGAGGTTGATCACCGGCACCCACTGATCCAGGTACCGGCTCTCCCGGCAGAAACACATCAGCTGACTCAGCGCTGGATCCTTCCACTGCGAGGCCTGGGGGTTCTGGAATGGGAATGGGGGAAGGCTTGGACACGGCAGCAAAAACAGCCCGCGCAGGGCAGTAGGGAAAAAAAAAAAAAGCACAGCAGAAAGTCCAGGAGTGTGAATCATCTTAAATTGCTACCGAGGCAAACAAACAAGTCAAGCCGGGAAGCATGTGAGGAGTTTTGTAGTTTTGGACTCTGGGGCAGCAGAGGGAAAGGAAAAAAAAAAGATGGCAAGAAAAGGGGAAGAAATGGAAAGAAAAAGGGGAAAAAAGTAGGGAAGAAAAAGGGGGGAAGAAGGGAATAAAGGGGGGAGGAGAGAGAAAGAAAAAGGGGGTAAAGAGGGAAAGAAAGGGGGAAAAGGGGGAAAGAAAAAGGGGAGAATCGGGAAAGAAACGGGGAAAAAAGAAAAGGAAGAAAAAAGAGGGAAAGAAAGAACAAACTAAAAGGAGAAAGAGGGGGAAACAAAGGAGAAAGAGGGGAAAATAAAGGAGAGGGAAGAAGGACCCCGTTTTCCCTGGGGCGTGGGAAGCACCGCGCAGCTCCCGGTGCGGGCGCGCGGAGTCCGCGGGTTCGAGCCCCGGGCACGGCGAGTTGCGGGGGGTCCCGACCGCCCGTCCGTGCCCCCCGTGCTCACCGTGACGAGCACGCAGTGCAGGTCCGCGGGCGGGTCGGGGCCCGCGGCGGGCAGCAGCAGCTGCGCCAGGCGCGCCGGGTTGCTGACGCGCAGGATGTTGATGTCGTTCTCGCAGCAGAAGGCCCGCAGCAGAGTGAAGTGGATCTGCAGCGCCGCGTCCCCCGCCTCCTCCTCCTCGGCCGCCAGCAGGCACAGCACCACGTTATCGGGGTCCCTGAGGGGAAACCGCCGTCACCCGGAGGGGACACCGGGCAAGGGGGAACGGGGGCAAAGGGGGGGTCACTCACACGTTGAGCAGCTTGGCCGCTTCGTAGACGCCGAGGGTGAGGCTCCGCTGGCTCAGCGCCTTGCTCAGCACCTCCTCCAGCGCGTCCCCCGCCTGCTCCATCCTGCGCCGGGACAAACGCCCGTCACGGGGACCCCGCACCGCAGCGATCCCCGCACCTCCCTCCGCCCCCCCCCCGGCCTCACCTCCCGGCGGCACGGCGCTCCCCGGGCAGCTCCTCCAGAGTCATCACGGGGCCGCGGGGCAGGGACGGACACGGAGGCACGGACACGGCGACAGGGGCAGCCCCGTCCCCGGCGTCGCTGCGGCCGCTCCGGCCCTGCCGCCCGTGCCGGACAAAGGCGCCCCGCGCGCGCTGCCCCTGCCGCGCCCCGGCCAACCCGCACCGCCGCGATTTGCATATCGCCCTTCTATTGGGTTATGCAAATGAGGCCCCGCCCACGCGTTGCCGAGCCCGGCCGGGCCTGACCCCGCTCGGCGCCGGGAGCCGGGACAGGGAATAGTTTGGCATGGGAGGGACCTGAGACCGACTCGTTCTACCCCCTGCCGTGGGCAGGGACACCTTCCACTATCCCAGGTTGCTCCAACCTGGCCTTGGACACTTCCAAGGATGGGGCAGCCACAGCTTCTCAGAGCAACCTGTGCCACGGCCTCACCACCCTCACAGACAATTCCTTCCCAATATCCCATCTGACCTTGTCCTCTGGCAGTGGGAAGCCATTTCCCCTTGGCCTGTCCGTGCAGGCCGTTCTCCAAAGTCCCTCTCCAGCTCTCTTGGAGCCCCTTTAGGCACTGGCAGGGGCTCTAAGTTGTCCCTGGAGCCTTCTCTTCTCCGGGTGAACACCCCCAGCTCTCTCCAGAGCAGAGGGGCTCCAGCGCTCAGAGCATCTCTGTGGCCTCCTCTGGACTTGTTCCACACCCTTCTGCTGTTGTTCCCCAGCGCTGGAGGCAGCACTGCAGGTGGGATCTCACCTGAGCAGGGCAGAGGAGCAGAATCCCTCTGTGGATGGATGCAGTTATCTGTTTTCCCTGTCTCCACAGGGATTGCACTCTTGCCATTCCCCTTCTAGTGAACACCAGCGCTGTCAGAACACAACCTCACTAACCTTTGAATCCTCCACACACACTGCTAGGAAACACCCAGTGCAGTCTGTGGCACCGGCAGTGGGGAAAGTAAACAATCTCTTGACGTGGTTTTCACCAGGAATGTGCTCCAGGGATCCCTCAGCACAGTGGTACCAGCAGGACTTAGCAGCTTCTGACAGCACCAGCACAGCTGCAGTTCTGCCAAAAGTGAGCTGGAGAGGTGGGAGGGACCCACAGACAGCCTGGGCCCCACTTCCACAGGGGGGTAGATTTAGATTGGATATTGGGAAGATATTCTTCCCTGTGAGGGTGGTGAGGCCCTGGCACAGGTTGCCCAGAGAAGCTGTCGCTGCCCCATCCCTGGCATTGTCCAAGGCCGGTTTGGATGGGGCTTGAAGCAACCTGGGCTAGTGGAAGGTGTCCCTG